GGAGCAGAGCCTCCAGATCAGATTCAGTCAGCGGAGCGCGCAAAGTCTCCCAGTCAGATTCAGTCAGCGCGCGAAGCCTCCCATTCAGTTCAGCAGCGGAGCGCGTTAGCCTCCCATCAGTTTAGTGAGAGTGCCTTGAGCCTTTCTTCAGTCAGGTCCAAGCTCAAGATAAGCCCGAGCAGTCACCGCTCTGCTCAATTTGGTAGTTTGCCAACACTGAAGTAGATATTAAAACTTTTGGGTCATGTTGACAGGTAATGCCTGCATTGGATCTAAACTCCCCTTCTAGGCAAACAAGGTCATTTGTCGAATTCCCCTTGATGGCTGTGGCCTGCACGTGGTACAAACTGAATGTGTCAACAGTTCAGCTGATAGCTTAATGAATTGTGATGGCACTGCGTCGGCTCTACACTGAAAGGCTGTCAATGCAGTGACTAGTCAAAGTCATCAGCAACTGATATACTCAGGCATCTGAATCTGTCATGTGAACTGAGACTCATGTTCCACGACCGATGTCCTCCTGTAGTTGTAGTTGAATCAAGTGGCGGAGCTGAAGGTCCTGGCGAAGAAAATCCTCAATCATGCCTGAGCAAACGGAACGTCAGCAACTATCACTGGACCTGAAAGGAGACCGGCCCCCTTGCCAAGAAACCTGGCTGACTGATCCGGGATCTGTACCTTCTGGCTTATCCGGGATCTGTGCCCGTCTATGCTCGATCTGATTTGGGAGGCGATACGCGCTCCACACTTGATCAGATTTACGAGTCGGTGCGCGCTCCTTTCACTGAGTCTTACGTAATCTGATTTGGGACCCTGCAAAACAAGTCGAACATCGCAAAATCAGCCCTAGCGACAGCTGCTCGCATTGCTTCATATAAATTTCGTGGTGCAAGGTGTGACGCCTTCTCAGCATCTCTTTGGCTTTATTCTTGCCGATGTTGAGCTGTTTTGCGTTGGTTTGGGAAAACAGGCCCAGGTTCAGAAGATGCAGTGGTGGCTGGAGTCGACGCGAAATCATCCACAACTGGCTCACCGGTTGAGACATTTCCTAGTCTCTTCTGGCAAAGAGCCCTTCCTGTACACCGACGTACAGGGTGCTGACAACATAATCGCACTGGAAGGATGGGGCTCGTGGTCGCAGCCGTCAGATGCCGGGTGGTTTTCAGTGCAGGCTGACTGCGAGCCCGGCGCATTTTCTTCTGGATTAGCAAGGCAGGTCACATTGGGCCTCAACTTCTGCAGGGTTCCCTTAATGCTAATAAACATACGGTTGTTATATACATCTGCTCAGGATTGCTTGCCTCAGGTTGAACTGGAATTGGAAACCCGGTCAGATAACGATCCAGCCGATCAGTTGATGAATGAGGACCTCAGTGGGTCCAACCCAGAGCTCAGGGTAAACGTTAGTTTAGAGGATCTTCCTCTTCAACTCTTTAGTAAGTTGCTTGAGACTGAGAACCGGTTTATGTCAGACAGTGTGCCCACCGCTCTCGGCTTTAAGTTCATGCATCCTCCAAGAGATCGAAGACTCAGTGGTGATCTGTATCGCCAGCTTTGCTGTAGGGGTCAGAGGCGCGACACGAGATCGCCCCTGGCTGGCCCACGGCTTGAGACAAATTCCACTAAGGAAAAAGGGCGTCTTGCATCTTTCTTGCTGCAGTGATTCAAATAAAACATATTTGAGATTGAGTGGCTATATTATGGTCGATAGATTTTGACTGAGTGGCTGTCCCGAATAATCAGCCTTGAAGTATTTTGGGTTTCAGTTCTGCTCACCTGGGTTTTGCAAACCCGCTCAACCTTGGGGGATTCTGAAAACAGCCGGGCGATGGAAAACTGCCCAAGAGTCAGCAGAAGCAAAGCTTCTGGACTGGCGTCCAAGCTTAGACCTCAGTCGAGGAGGTATCGACAAGTTAGCTGAAGCAACGAGGTCAGAAAGTGTTTTCGCGAGGATTATGGAGCAGGTTGAACTGAATGAACCAGTAGTTTTCGAGGTGAAGCCAAACAAGTGACCATTGAAGTCGGGGACGAAGAAGAGAAGATTGAAGGAGAAAAGAAAAGAAGGCAATGCCAAGAAAGGCTGAGAAAGAGACGCGCTATGATGAGGATGATGAAAAGGAGAAAAAGAAAGCGCGATATGAAAGCAGGCCAAGCAGACCTGAAGATGGGGAAATGGTCCCCAAGGAACTTTTGAGCGTTCCTGTGAGCCAGGAAACTTGGAATGTGCTGGGCAAAGATTCGAGAGTTCGTGTCTTGAGCGAGCAGCCCACGAACGAGAGCTGTTTCTTTTGCCAGCAGAAGGGCCACAGAGCGTTCTATTGCTCAAGCATGTTGGCATGTTGGTGCTCGGTCTTAGACTGTCCCGCAACAGGGGACAAACGCAGTTTGGAGGACGAGACCGAAAGACGAATTTGTTTTGTACCATGGCCCATGGCTATTTTTACAATAGCTACTCAAGAGCCTCAAAACGCTATAGCCCAAAAGATGGAACGGGCTGGTGCAACCATACGAGAACGACATGCTCGTGGAGGAGCAGCTGCCCGCTAACGGCGGACGAGGAAATGCTGAAGATGAGTGACGCCGGGCTTTGACGGCAGCTCAGACTGAGACTGCGCAGCCGAAACGGGCCTGAAGAACAGCGCAATGAAGAACAGCGAGAAGGTGAAAAGAGCGCTGGAGCAAGACCGGCAAGATCAGTGAGTATGAGTGATGAGCCGGAAAGAAAGGAGCAAAAGAAAGAAAAAGCTGAAGCGAAGAAAAAGGAAGAAGACGCGAAGAAAAAGAAAGCAGCAGACGACTTACGGTCCCAGCCCCAGCTACAATCCGAATCGGATATCATTTTGCACGGTTATATCTTTGATGAGACGTTTAGATGCGAGACTCAGAAGAGCCTCATGAAGCAGGCTAAGTACGAGAAGCAGTTAAAGTTCACCGTGTTGGAAAGAACACCGAACTATCGTTCAAGAGTTCAAGAATGCGAAGACATGAACAAAATAGCAATTGACTTGCGTAACGAAAGGATGCGAGCAGAAGAAGAAAGAAGATCAAACCCTGTGCAGGACGCAGCCGAAGCTGAAAGGATCAGAAAGGAAAATGAAGAGAAAGCAAAGGAGGATGAAAGATTGATGCAGAAAGAAGAACGCAAAGCTGCAAAGAAAGCAGAAAAGAAGAAGGATAAGGAAGAGAAGAGAAAGTCAAAGAAAATTGAAAAGAAGGAAGGAAAGACAGAGAAGAACAAGCGTGAGTAGATTAGGATAAAACGTCGTCACGATCCGAAGCCATGAGAAAGATGGCTATGAAGTTGATTCGAAGAAAGAGGAGGAATGATGTTGATGAAAAGTTCTGTTGATTTGAATCGACTAAGCCGTAGAGCGATGTAAGAGGTAGGCAGACCTCACCGAGTGCAATGAAACATTTGCACGTTTCACCAAGCAAAACATGCCGAAGAGCATAAGGCGTAGTTACTTGGAGAGTGCTACGATGTGTCGAGATGACACTGAATTAATCTTTTGGCGAAGCGGTAGAGTAGTTCCCGCTGCATGTGAAAAAGAAGAGCGTATTTGTGTGTTGTTTTGGTTAAGAGGTCATGATTCATCTATGACAAGATCGTTCGAGCGGTTGATTATGATTATCCGTTTTGGGTTAATGGCTTTTCAAGGTATTGGCGACGCAAAGTGGGCACGGCCCAGGACAAGTCAAGTTTCAATCGATTTTGGAGTCGATCGATGGCCGGTGATAGAATCTTCTATTGCTTAACGCCTTTGATGTGACTGTGCAAGTCAAGTTGCATCAGACTGTTCAAGTCGTCACAAGCCGTCCGAGACGGGTATGATGATCGATCCTTGAAAGATGAAGTCTGGATGATATGATCTTGGAACTTTGATTTTTTGATGTACTATGAGAAGTGAAGCAAGCCCATGTACAATTTGAATTCGACGTTGGTGGATGAAGAGCACNNAAGAGGGCGTAACAAACATTTCGATTGTACATGTGCTCAATATGAGCCTTGACAGTAATGCATGTTTCACTCCGCTTTCTAGGCTCAAACCGCACCCCAGACAGACTGCAACTGCAGAGCAAAAGTGTGCCGCCTGCGGTTAGGTTGGAGTGGGGTTAGTTGAGTAGAGTGGACCTTAAGATTTGGTCTAAAACTGTCAGGATTGCTTGAAGTAGAGGGAATCAGAAACCGTTCACTGCATGTCCACCACGTGATGTATTGACACCTGGGGGATCTATGTAAAAATAACTCCGCTGTCCATAAGTTTCTTGTTATGCAGGGTTCAAATGGTTTAATTTTTGGGCAGATGTGGCATGTTTTCGTGGCGAGTAAGGGGACTACAGATCGGGTTTCGAAGCTATGACTGAAATGCCGAGAAGGTTGTCGATTCGAGTGTCAAATGCTGTGGAAGTTGATGTTGGTGTGCCGCACCCAGGCGATGAAGCCAAAACAAAAGTGTTCCCAATGAGGCCTTTCGTAGAGTTAGAGTTCAGGGTTCAGGGTTGTTGCCAGCGAATGTTTGGATGAGATTTGAGACTCTTGGACGCTTGCTCTACTGCATGCGTTTTGCGAGCTAAGCAAGAGTTGGCACTGCCTGGACATTTGCTTGTTGACTGCATGCGAACTGCCTGTGAATTTGGTCCATGAGGTCAACCTTGAAACATTTTTGTTCCTTTACTTCGTTTATGTTCGCATGTCCGCAGACCCAAATTAATTCAACCAGCTCATCAACTCCCCAAATAGCGAACACATCCACAGGGTATTCTAATATGTATCCAAACATTTGGCCTTGGGCACGATCCCCAGAAATCAGTCATCACAGATTGCAAAGCACATGCAGCATAGGCCTAGGAGTCCTTAGCAATCGTGCCGCATGGCCCACGAGGCGCGGGCAATGCGAAGGGTAAATTTGATGTTCATGCAAATGCTTCGAAATTATCGTATATCGTAGGCCATATGCATATCTTGCGGCATGATCTTGCCTTGCTTCCCATGTTTGCAGGAGGACGATCTACCGGGTGATGCCTGTCTGGGTTGTGTTTGAAGCCATGGCCCCGATTTTATCTGGTTTGTTTTCCCTTTTCCTCTTCGAAAGACCGTCAGTGGACTTTGTATGCAAGGAGGGATGTGTGGACGTCTCTTGCTTTCTGAGGTGAAATGCCCAACCGTCAATTTAGAAGACGTCCGCATCGTCGGATCTTTGCCTGAACTTGGCTCCTGGTCGGGGCCCCGGGCATGTGTCACGCCCAAAGCATGCCAACACAAGAACAACAGTAGATTGAAGGCGGTTCATTGCATTTAGATTTTAAGCATTTGCATGAGATTGTATGTGCGAATCTTGCCAGATAGGGAAACGGTCCTTGTTTGGATTCGGATTTGTTTTGTACAAGCCGCGCCTGCCCGAGCATGCAACGAATGCAACGTATACTTGAAATTCCAACATCGATCAATGATTGACAATGATGGCAATCAACCCCAAACCCGAAACCCTTTGTTAAGGGAAGTGGTTGCCTGATATGAACTGATATGAACTGGAGGTGAGGAAGTCCTCAAACCCCAGACCATGAAGCCTAAACGCATTTCTGTGCGCTGTTCCAGGGAACCATCCCGAGCTTTGCCTTTGGTGACTTCAGAGCGGACGTACCCAGCGTGGGATGCTGAGATTTTTGTTCTTGGTTTGTGGGAATGAATGCTGAAATGGATCCTTACCGTATTTCGCCAAGAACATCCCTGCAGCCCATTCCCTGTACCTGGCTGACCACCAGTAAACTTTCAGGCGCGCAGATGTAGCGGTCCTCTAAACTCAGGTAGCAGACACGAAATGCGAGGGTTTGCTTAGTAAAGATTACCCCCACGCCCCAAGCCCTAAATTCGGTCTTTCTTATTTTGCCAGGGCTTAATTGGGTTTTAATAATTAAGCCCTGGCAGGTTTGTAAGGGATGCAGTTTTGGGTTCGGGGTCTAGATCACTTGCAACTTATGAAGCCTTACTCGCTTGTTTGGGACTGCTTTTCAAGTGCCTTTTCGTGTCGACTGCAATTTTGGTCGCTATCCAGATTGTGTTGGAGTTTCCAAGCAGATCCTGAAATATTACCCGGTAGGGGTCCCCATAAGCTGCTAATCAATAAGCTCTGCATATCCCGCAGGTTGAGAAGATCCCATATCTATTTTTCTTTGAGCCCCACCGCTAGGGGCCGGAACTGTCTTTTCCTTCCATACCACTACCAGTCAAACCCAGTGGGTAGGGCGAATGCCTACAGCAAGCCCTGAACCTCTAATCCCAGCTGTGGATGGAGGTGGAAAAGCGCAGAGATCTCATTGCCCAGCCAAGTGACAGAGGCCTGGGACCGCAAGTGAGCAGGGTGTAGGACCTGCGATAGAGTTCAGGGTGTAGGGTACGAACAGTGGGCTTTCTAAATCACTGCCACCGTCACATCCTAAGTTCGTCAAATTTTGACAACCCTAAACCCTAAAATCCTAAGCCCTAATCCCTAAATAGTAGCTTCCATTATCTCAATATGTCCTCTATATAATCTCAGTACTGGAAGTTGTGGAACGGAGGTGCGCTCGTGCTCTGAGGGGTTCAGGGCTGAAGGCCAGCTAGGAGGATTCTGGTTCAGGCCGACAGCCCGACCCACAAGCATGTGAGCTTTAGTCTAAACTCCTTAAGGGGGTTATATAGAAGATTATATAGGGGACTGTTAAAGGGGTTATTCAGCGGAGTGCTAGGAGTTTAAACTATAGCTCATGTGAGCAGGTTCCAGCCAAGCCTCATACCCTGAACCCTTCTTTAAGTGCCCAAAACCTCCCCAAACTGTGAACCCTTCATGAAGAACCCCAAACCAAACCCCAAGCTTGCAGTTCCAGGTTGTCCAGTACAAATACATCAAGGCTCTGGACGTTCTGTCTACTTCGCACCATGTGATCGCGAAACATAGGGATCTCACGAGGGATTTTTAAAACTTATTGTCAGAAATAGGAAGGGACCTAAACGGGACCATGCTTTGCACAAGACCCCCATCTGTCGTAGTAACTTCGTCTGCGCTGTGCAGTATTGAGTTTTTAGCCTGAGGAGTCTCGTATGTGTAAAAGGCTGCGTTTGAAACAGCTAGGTTCCCACCCTAGACCCGTCTTGAAGAAGCTCCAGAGTTTGATTGCGTCATTTGCTCGGAATGTTGCAGGTCTTCGACGGATCGTTGGTTCAGTGGGAGGCGCTGCTGGCTCCATCAATATTCACAAGGGGCATCAAAGCATTCCCGTCGCAAGGAGGGTGGTAGGTTTTTGGGCCCTGCATCCAGGGTACTAGCGAAAATTTTGTTTGCGCTTAAAATTCAAGCTTGTAGGCTAGGATGTTCAGTATGAGAAGTCCTACAAAAAGGGGAGCCTTGCGCATGTCCACAGGAATTGTCCATCCTCTTGGCATCCCATATGCAGGGTGGGCCTAACCGCATTCTCGACGTGAGCTGCCTCGTGGAGAGGATGGTGCGCCCTGTTGATGCATGCTCCTGCGCTGCCAACATTCTCTATGCGAGCACCTTCTGGTAACACTCCGAAAATTTTTCAATAACAGGGAGATGTTTGAGTCTTCGCATGGATGTGGTGGCAAGCAGGTGAATTATGTCGACGACTTGACGTTTGACATCAATGACACTGCAACTCTGCCGTGTTTTTTGTTTTCCGTCCTAGGCTGCAATTTGTTTGGGTGGAGAAGCACAGAACCTGTATGGAAGCTTTTTAAAAGAACCTTTTTACAACCCTTCGTAAGGAACCCCTATCCTTGTCTTACAATCCCTATCTTATCCCTGACGGTCCGAATGGATAGAGAAGCCCCCATGTCAGCATGTCTCATTGATGTCAGGTGACTCGTCGAAGTGGGTGTGGAGCTCAGATGAGATACTGTAAAGGTTTCGGGTTGAAGGTGTGAATAGTAGAGCTCCCACATGATCTTCAAATATCATTGGTTAGGTACCATAGATTCTCAATGTATAAACACTTTGAGGGGCATTTATGGTTCTCAGTGTCAGCTGTAGAAGTTGTACCTTTGGTTATTCATGTGCCGTTCTTGGCCTCCACTGTTCGGGCTAGTCACTACTGTAGCTGCATCGAGCATCATGTGGATTACACCAGGTATGACGGATGCCCCTTTCTGAATTTTCTAGAAGCTTTCTCTTGGCAGAAACTCCCCGTAAGGGCTGCTTGAACCTGAAGCCGCCCTAAACCCCCTCATCTGAGGAATCGCATACGGTTTCAAGAAGCTTCCAAAAGCGCTGCCGCTGGGACCAGAATCTGGCTTAACCCCTTGTCACGGTTTGAAGGTTGTGGGTGTGGGGGCTCAGGGTTTTGGATAGAGCATCTCCACCTCCAATCCCTTATATTGACAGTTCCCGATAAGGGGCTGCACATAGAATGAGGGAGTATTCGTTGTTGTTGCGCTGTGAGGGTTCAGGCGGGCTGCAGAGCTCAGGGTGTAAGACAATTTTGTGTACAGCCAAAACAGCACCGGCAGGGTGGCAAGTGTTGTTCTGACTGGTCCATGACAGGGGGTGTTGGGAACCCATGACTACGTGGGGGCTTTATTTAAATTGTGCAGAAGACAGCAGGACTGCAAAATATCAGGATGGTTTCAGGATCACATGCCCATGCTGCGCTGTGCAGGGCATAGCGCCGCACAGCACGCAACTTCTTTCTACAGCGCACAAAAAACAAATTGTGAGAACATGACATCCTAGAGAAGCTCCCGATGTATGACCGTTGTGCAAGGTATGACACCCTAGAAAGAACAGGTGTGAATCAATCGATCTCAGTCAGCCAACGTCCGGAAGCACATGCCTGTTTTTGGTTTGTCTTATCCATATGAGCTATAGTCCAAACTCCTTAAAAGAGATTGAATAGGGGAGTATGTGGGAGTATTGTGGTGGCCATTGAGGGGGATACTAGGAGTCTAGACTGTGGCGCATATGTAGGGGACCCCAGCCTTCAAGGTTTGCGACATGCGACTCTCTCAGTTGAACATTCAACATGTAATCCCCAAGCCCTACGGCCTGGTCCGGATGATTTTGCATTTATAGTCCCCCTCAAGCAGATAGAATATGGGGTGTGTGGGCATCTTACTATAATATACCGATATACCCAAAGCCATATTCTAGCTACTTAAAGGGGACTATAGGTCCCAACGGTGAAGACGTTATTCAGACCTCGAGCGTAGGGACGCTGATTCAAATGGCCAAATGCCCTCCAACCACCTCGAAACGTATCATCTGTCCTGGATGGATGAGCCCCACAACCAAATAGTTCATCAGAAGCTACCATACAACCTCGTTGTAGCATCGGTGGCAATCCTTTTAGCCTTGCTTGGGGGTCCCAGGAGTATCCTGTGGGAGCCTAGATTCTTAATATCGCTTGAATCTGAAGCCCCTAAACCCTAACCCTCGAAATTCTACACCGGAATCCCTAGACCTTACAACCCAAACCCAAACTCCTGTAGTAATCCTACATCCGCACACGCTGCAGTCTGTGACGACCAGCCGCTTCGCTAGCAGCGTACCCTCACCTCTCCGTGCGAGTAATGTCCTCAGAACCTTCAAAAGTAATCGTTCTTGGAACATTATGCGCTCTCCGTACAGAACACACAATTATTCAAAATACGATTTTTCAACTTCGTGGCTGCAGAGAGTTTCATATTATGATGAAGGCAGGAGCAGGTCAGGCGGTAGGCAGAAGTGCTTTTGGGCTTAGATCTTGAGGATTGAGGGATTGAGGGCCCTGCTTTTTGGTCTTGGGGCTCAGCGGTGAGGGTGTAGGGTTGAGAGTTCTGGGTTTTGGGCAGGCAGGTTGCTCGATGCACGGTGGAACACATCCGTAAAATCTGTCGGAATTTTAGAAATCGCAATGAAGAAGAGGGGACGGGTCTTTCATGGGCATGTTTGTGTTTTGAAAGAGGACCAGCGGCAGAACATTGCCATAAAGGGTGCCGCACAGGGGTCCTGAAGTTCTATCCCTTAGGTTACCCACAGCACGCGTGGTTTGCCTACCAAATCCCACCACAATCTCCAGTCCCTGCTGATCTGTGGACTCATTTTGGAGTTGTGAGCTGAAGAAGAGGTTCACAGACTGGGCCAGGCATCTTGTTGGCTGAAAAAAAACTGGCAAGTGGGGGTGTCAGGGGGCGAAGTCGCCCCACCCATTTGCGAAACATGGAAGAAGATGTTCATGGACTTGACCACGCATTGTGTTTCTTATTTGCAAAACTTGGAAGAAGAGATTTTTGGACTTGGCCAGGCATTGTGTTGGCAAACAAGGGGACCCCATCTGCAAAGCATGGAAGAAGAAGACATCGACATATAAGGTTTCAGATTCACGGGTACGCACCAGGTGCTGTGAGGCCTCCCGTTCTTGCATCCTGACTTCCTCCCCGAAGTAGTAGCTTAGCACCCTCATGTTAGCCTCCAAGTCTCGGAAATGCTGGCAGCGACAGGAGTCTTGAAGCTTCCTGCATGCTTCGGGCCCGTCGGCGTGGGCAAGCCACAAGAGTCTACCAGGGAATGAACAAGGGAAAAGAAGATGGAACTTTATGTATGTTCTCATCTAGGGCCAGGGCTGCCATTCCTTCATTCCCTACAAACAACCAGTAAGTCAATCCTGACCCTAAACCCTAAACCAGTAAGTCAACCTGATACTTTGGTGGCAGCGGTTGAGGCCAAACGCCCGTGGAGAAGCATCCGAATTCCTTGGAGTGCCGCCCCCGGAATTAAATCCTGGATATTGAAACATACCTCTAGAGGGGGATATAGGGGGCTATATGGGGAATATAGGTGATACAGGGATAGTGGAAAAGAAAGTGGAAACTACTATTTAGGGTTTAAGGTCTAGGGATTAGGGCTATATTGGGATTATATTGGGATAATGGAAAAGAAAATGGAAACTACTATTTAGGGTTTAGGGTTTAGGGGTTTCCAAAATTAGGGGTACTTGTCGGGTCCGCATCACAGGGATTAAAATCTCTTGGGGTCTTTGTTAATCGGGGCCCTTGCTATGCTGAAACCCTACTAATTCATGGGGCTAAGTACTTAGGGGCATGTTGGCTTTTCTATTTAGGTTTTTGGTCCGTCGTGTTGAAAGAGGGGGACGATAGAGATCCATTTGAACCTGGACGATTATGCTAGGCGGCATGGATGGGGTTCATTGGCGCGTCATTTGGCTATTACAAGCGGGGTTATGAGTACCCAAAAAATCTGCTGCTTACTAGGAAGGCCGACCAAATGGACTCATGACTCGGACAAAATTTCCTCTTGGAGCGATACATAGCGACCAAGCTCAAAGTCAGGCAGAATGAGGCCCAACTCGAATTCACGTGGCCACATGAACCCCTTCGTCCCTCATTGATGGAGCGCACCATAAGGGGCAGGAGCAAGAGTCAAAGTAGTGACTATAGAAATTAACAAGACGGTGTGGTGACAGCTCATCGTCTTGACTGAGACAAAGACCATAGCAGTCGTGAACATTGTAGCAAGAAATGTGGTTACATCAGTAGATAAATGCGCGCAAATGTCTGAGAGGCGTCTTCTGATCGAGGAAATCTTGCAATCCTCGGGAACGTGTTTCCATTGCTCGGGGTAGAGAGTCTTAGAGGCTTTATTTATCAAAAAGATGCAAGCCCTCAACTGGTGTCCACCGTGCCTGCAGGGAGCTTGAGACAGTCCTGCGGGAGCTCCAGGATTTGGAAGTGATGCTGCTGGGCTGATTTTCTCCAAGACCTTGGCTTGAGGGTTTGGTTATATTAGTTTAGGGTCAAATTGTGGGGAAATTGAGGTTAAAGAGGGATAATGGAACATAAGTTGCAAACTACTATCTAGGGTTTAGGGTTTACGGTTTAGGGTTTTGTACCTTGGGCTTGCAGTTTAGAGTTCAGGGTGTTGGCCATTGGATTGGGTCTGGGCTCGGGTCTAGGTTTCGGCTTTTTACAACGTGTTGCGGGGAAGGGTCTACAAAGCAGAACCACCAATTCAGTATTCAATGCCTCTAGAATTCTTCCAGATGGTTAGTTGTCAAAATTATGGTCCCCTTTTGGGATGCCTATTAAAATACGGCACCTACTATCTAGGGTACCCAAAAAGGGACCATAATTTTGAAAACCACCCAGATCCTTTCAGGGGCTGGGCCACTGCTGCTCCAGCAGCAGTCAGAGGGTGGATCGCTTCAATGTTGTTTGTACAGTCCCCATACAACTCTTTTTATTAATAAGGCGTCCTTTTCGGTCTGCCACCCCCACACCACCCGAATGTTATTTGCGGCTTCTCTTGTTGGTGTTCGCAGTCTTATTTTAGCATTGTTATTGCCATCAGCGGTCTTAGCATCATGCCTGGTCTTGAGCAGTGTAAGTTGCATGCTCTAGGCAGGGTATCGCTGGTATTGTTTAGGTTGGGCCCCCACCCACCAATAGTGACCACAAGAGGTAATGGTGATTATATTAGGGTCCTTATATATTCCTAGTATACCACTAGTAGTGGGTGGGGGCCCAACCCAAGGTATTGTGGCAATTCGGGGTTTTGTGTGTTTGCATTGCCATCATTCCCGTGTCAAGCCTCACAGTGCTTGCATCATCGTGAATTCACGGGTTTCCCAAAATCAGGGGTACCATTTTGGGGGTCACTATAATAAGGACTATAGTATTTTGGGGTCCATATTGGGGTTCCCTCATTTTGGGAAACTACCATCTCTGGTGAGTCCTTTGCATTGCAGTTCCCATAAGAGTGTTTCCATAGACGGTGGAACTGCTTATATTGGGGTCTATATCATAATGGGGACCCCTCCAAGAGCCCCAATTCCTGGGAACACCCAAAGCAGAACCTTCAACTCTGAAACCTACGCTGCTGCTGCGCCAAGGAACCTTTCCAGCCGCCCTGAGATAAGGCATGCGGCAACCTCTACCACAGAACATGAAGTTTAAGCAGCAGAGTGCAGAGTGAGCTGGGGGAAGGAGCAGATGTGCAAGTTCATGGACAACCAAAAGTTTGAATGATGAAAGCCTGCTGGCTGCTAGCCGTGAGGTCTTCGGTGTTATACCGCATGCTGATGCATTGATGCCTCTTGTTTCTTGATGTTTGTCACTACAACACATAGATGCATCATGAAACTGATCGCGTCTCTGGACCCCCATGTGGACCTGTTACCCTTTTCGCGGACATCTCCACATGAAAGCCGGGAGGGTCTCAGGGTCTCTAGAAGTTGGTCGAGGTCTGTGCTGCCATGAAGCTAACCGCTCAAGCCACTAATGTTTTGGGGCCTTTAGCCCAGGTGGTCCCAAACTTTGCTCTTCTCGAGTCCTGTACCCTGACCCACACCCGACCTTTCGCACTCTCAGGGGTGAAGAAAGTGGCCACGAAACAAGGAGAAACCAACCTTACAGCCTCGTGACAATGCTTGAAGGCGGGCAATCGCTTCGGTGCGGGGTGCCATGGAAGCGCCTGGGACTGTTAATGTTCAGTGTCTTTAGGGGCCAGTTTGGGGTTCCTGATGCATCTTGCGAAACCTTAAACTCCGGTAATATCAAACCCAGAGAGGACAGACCCCCTGCGAAGCCTCTGGGTTCCCTTACAGTTCCTACAAACCTCAAAACTTAAAGTACCCTAAACCCTAAACCCTAAAACCTCAACCCTAAAGGTGGAAAGATCTGGACGGCTTCGTTGGCATCATCGGCCCATCACGTGCGCAATGCTGGCCCTCCTCATGGTGGGCCTCAAGATTACGTGAGCTACAGTCTAAACTCCTTAAGGGGGGTTTATATAGGGGATTACATAGGGGACTACCATAGGGGTTATTAAGGGGGATGCTAGGAGTTTAGACAATGGCTCACGTTGTTAATCTCATTTTTTCGCTTTTGCTACTCTTACTACTGATGCTACCGTTGTTACTATTGATAGAACTCCCTGAGGCTTCCACATAGGATATGAATGTATTTCCTTCTCATTTTCCAGTATCTCTTCCATTGATTCCGAATTATTCAAATTGAAGGGTTCAGGCTTGCCAGGCTTGTCCTGGGCAACGTGCTGTACCTCTTTGCATCAGGAGTTGCAGGAAGGTGGAAGGAATCATGACTTTCCCCAGATCTTAGGTCCCTCCACAAAGGAAATCGGCCAGGGGACCAGGACTGCTCACTACGCCATGGCAATTATTCCATGAACTTTTGATGCTGTTTTGTAGTGATTCATCTCTGGATTGGTACAAGAGCTGCTTCGTAGACTCAAGACTGTATGAGTTGCTTCAATGGCAGTTTACAATCCTTTGGAATGTGGTCCTTCACAGTCCATATGCCTCTGCATGTCAGCATTATTTCCGTGGTTTCTTGAAGTCCTGAACCGCGAGTCCTTTTGTGTTGGCAGGTGCCTCTGATGCCGCTACTGGTGACAGCTGCACTGGTGTCCAAGTGATCCTGTCAGGTTTATCCGAGGGTTGAAGTTCTTCAGGGGAGGCTTATCTACCCAAGCCACGACATATCAGGATACTTGATGAATCTTCCTGTGTCCTTCTTAAGGCATACCTTGACCGTTCACCCCACACAGCATTCCATGGATCAAGGCCCCACACTCATTGTAGGGTTTCCGAGGTATGAATTGCACTCACGTGGTACCTTGATTCCTTGATTACCTTACTGCCTCATAGTCCTTTACCAGCATCTTCAAAGTTTTTTCTTGAAAGATAGCTACTGTTATTGCCTCTACCATTCTTATTGTTATGAACTACTGTTAGTATTATTGTTACTTCCAGTTTATTCTATTGCTACTATTATTACTATTTCTACTTGTCATGTTTACCTTATTCTTCTAAGCGGAAGAGAAATTACTGCTGTGCTTGCTACTGCCACCTCCTTTGCCACCTCCTCCTCCTCACCCGCCTCGGCTGCCACCGACGCCCTTGCTTTAGCTACTGTACTACGGTACTGCTATAATACTTGTTTGGTTTCAGGAGCCGTGTCTATGGAATCATCAGTTGCCTTGACACCATGTAAAGCTTTTCATGTCTAGATGTCCTACAGTTGTTCTCATTCTTGCGATCCTACCGGGTCCTACCAGTGGCCTACTGTTGCTCCAGTGCCAGTGTCCGATCTGCGAAGCTGCGCTACAACTCGCTGATGGACTCGGCCACGGAGAGTGTCAAGCGACCGCTCCGGAGGCCCTGAGGGCTGTCAAGGTTTAGGGTTTAGGGTTGGAGCAGATTGGGGGTTTTAAGGCATTGGGCGGTTTAGATGGGGTTGGGGTTTGTAGGGTTTGGGGATGAAGGTCGACGGTGCAATGTGGGCCCCCTCCATGAGGACTTTTCTCGGTATCCAACGCTTCGATCCTGAATCGAGCGCCCTAGACCGGGGGAATAGTTGCTCTGGAACTTCACATGTACTATAATCACCACCACTATTGTCAGTGCCTTTGAGAGCTTGCCGCCACCGTTGTCGTGAACATTCCCTGTCATTGCTTGCTGATTGTTCTGGTTGCAACTGAAGGCTTCTGGAACCAGCTGATCCCCGAGCATGGACGGCAGGAAGCTTAAACGGAAATCTTGCAGCTTGAGGACAACGGGAAAAGGTACGCAAACAGGTTTTTCCCGAGGAGCGAAATGCTACTGTCTCAAAATGCGGCTTCTTGTGCGCGGTCTCGAATAAAAACTAGTTCCACCAGGACAAGACGGATCCCTCGGTGTTGAGACATTTGAGAATGATGCGGTCTGCTAAGGTTATGTCGGCTTGCCGTGTGCCAAAGAGAGCACGGATGGCGACGCACAGGCTGAACCCTACCGCTTCTTGCATGTGATGAATAGTAGGGATGATAGTTCCAACAACGGAACTGGAGAAGCAACAGAACAGCAGCAAAGAAGAGGTAGCAGCAGGATACCGTAGTTGAAGTCTCAGTCGCCATTACACCATTAGAAGCAGCAATTGCATATGATCGGAAGTTGCAGCGGGCGTAGTAGTCGTAGTCTTAGTACTCATCGTAGTAGTGGGCGGCAGTAGCAGTACTACCGGTAACTGGAGTGGGATTGGCAGAATAGCGGCAGTGGTAGTGGAACAGGCAGTTAGGGGTAGTTGTAGGAGACGAGAGTAACATGAAGTAGTAGTAGTAGTAGTAGTAGTAGTAGTAGTAGTACTGGGGCTCGAGCCTCCAAACACCCCCTGAAAGAAAGCGATATGTGCGTGCCACAAAGCCTGAGAGTGCCAACCTTGGCTACTAGTGTGCCCACATGGGCCACTGTACGGCTGCACGGTGTACATCAGTGTATATCTGTACAGAATATGTACTGTGGAGGTAGCGTGTAAATAGACATCTTGACAGTGGATTATGATTGATCCATTGTCAGTTTTGACTTGCTCACATGCAGCATTTTTCGCTGCATTACACAGGACACACCAAAGTGTATATCTCTTGATTGATGAGTAGGACGCAGGTCTGCAGCTATTCGTAGCGAGACTTGCCCATGTGGTTCTAGTGCTCTTGAAGCACTGGTGCAACGCACTGCCACTTGTACCTGACGCCAAGCTGAGTGACCGGCTGCGATTGGAATGAAAATAGTAGTAGTAGTAGTAGTAGTCGTCGTCGTCGTCGTCGTCGTCGTCGTCGTCGTAGAGGTGAAGGAAGTCGAAGAGTAGCAGCCAATCAAGCACGAAGGATACTTCAGTACTTGGAAACATTCCCCCGAAACCCTACACCCTAAGCCTTAAACCTTGAACCCACAACCCTTGGCCATGAACCCTGAAACCTGTTTTTTCACAAGCACAAAACGTAAACCCAAATGAGCTGTAGTCTGAACTTCTGAAAGGGGGTTATGTAGTGCATTACATAGGGGAGCATTAAAGGGGTTATGAAGGGGGATACTAGGAGTTTGGACTGTAGCTCAGATTGTAGTTTCCGTTCCACAAAAAAAAACCCCGATTCCTAAGCGCTTTGGTGCCTGCAGGATGCTACCTTTGCGGAGACGCCTTGACTGAAGAGAGCAGAATGTCCCATTCGCATGTTTCATGAGTTAGGGTTTGGGATGGTTTGGGATATCCGCATTTCAGACTAGGCATCGCCAGTGGTGTGTATAGAGTTTAGGCTTCAGGGCCTAGACTTAGAGGCAAGCTTAAGGAAGCAGTGCTTCGGTCCACACATGCCTTTCAGAAGGCTGTGTGTTCGACCGTTTTCAACTTTGTGAAGTTAGCTGCCGAGGTGAATGTTTGGAGCGGTAAAGTTGCAGACCATCAGCGTGGCTTCTGGCCTGCCTTGCTCCGAAGTTTCAAAACTGTTTTTCACGCTCCTTTGGGGAGATATCCGTGCGAACTGGGCACAAAGAGTGTGTTGGTGTTAAGGAACCTAAATGAAGTTACCATAATATGGGTATATAGTAAATATTGATAAGGTCTCCTTGTTATAGTAACAACAGCAACACAGAAGACTGTTTGGATTGCCGCGGCGATGTGGGCTTGGTACCTGTCGCATGTTACAGGGTATATATAGGGGCGATATGAGGATGACTATATAGCGTTATACATTATAGGGTATATATAGGGGTATTAAAAGGAGCTTTGCCAAACAACCCGTCGATGATCTTTAAGAGGCTCATTGTAATCTATATCCCTGGGAAGGATAAGAGTAATCTGGTATTGCGAAGACCCCCAATTCTGCCCACTTCCCACTTCTGCTTAATTTAACGGCACCAGCTCCCGGCCCCAAATATTTGCGTTCGACGAGGTTCCCATGCAATGTTTCGGCTCTTGTTGCCTTGCAATGGTAAGTGTAGGAGGGGCGGCATACAGAACATGTGGCAGATGCTAGGACCAAAGCATGGCATGGCTTCAAAAGATGGGTGACCCCTGTTAGTACAATCTTGATGTTCGATACTTCGAAAAAAGCTCTGAACTTTGGAAATCCCAAACTCTAAACGCTGAGCCCTATGATATATCCCCATATACCCCAGCTGACTTTGCCCTAGCATCATGAAGTATCATCGGAACATGCTGTTTACGCCCATTTGCACAGCAACGCTTCGGTCCTGTACCAGTAGTAGTACACCGTCAAGAGTTTTGGTTTTAGGGCAGCAATCCAGTAAGAGCAGCACACACTTGATGTTGCCATAAGGGTTTTCAGAAGCGGTCAGTATCAGGATTTTTGTTCTGAGAGTAGAAGCATGAATGGTGGGGATCATGCAGATCGGCGTGCGCGCCCCCAGGCGGGTGTGACGGGATGCAACTGTCATCTACTTGTTTCCAAGCCCTCGCAGAATCCTTAAACCGCAACCCATTCTTCTTGTTTGGAGGAAAACCTTCAAGCGTTATAACTCCTAAACCCCAAGCCCTAAACCCTAGTCAGGCAGTCAGCATATCCACAGATAGCCTGGAACTCTGGCAGCCAATTCCAATTCTGCAGCCGGACGCAGAAGGTGGAATGGGGGGCGCTTTAGGTTTCAGTGGTTTAGGTTTAGGCTTCCGGGTTTAGGGTGTAGGGTTTAGACTTCCGGGTTTCGGGTTTGGGGTTTAGGGTTTGGGGTGTAGGGTTTAGCTTCAGAGTTTAGGGCTGAGAAATGGGGAGTTTCAACATGACCCCTTTCCCACTTCCAGCATCTCCTAGGTGCCACAAGGTGTGATGGACTTGAAGGGAACCCCGCCTCTTGGAGAAGCCCTGAAACCTGACCGTAAACCTTGGACCCCATACATTCCTTTCGCCACCCGAATGGGTCCTGCTGTGGCCGGAGGAATGTCTGCACCACCGAACATGGCCTGTAGCCCAAGAATTGCAGTACTTTTGGGTTTTTTTGGGATCCCAAATCCCAAGTGGTGCAAGATTGCCTCCATCCAGAATAAGGACACCCCTGTCCTGAGAAATCTGTAGTCGAGCGGCCGCAAAGTTCAGGGTTTAAGGTCTGGGAGGTAATCCTATGGGTTACCGAAGGATTCTCCGTAGCTGGGGATGTCTTTGAGGCTGGTGCTATATCCTTCCCCAACAAAATTTGGTTTGTTGAAAGCAAGGACATGAATCATGTGTCCATACGGGGCCTCTCCTCAGGGCTTGAAAGACCCCTGATTCCCAAGAAGCCTCAGACACAATTTGAAGGACACCTGGCTACCTCCGTCGAACGCCTGTTTGATGTCTTGCTTGCGATTGCGCTCGAGTGCTTCCCGAAGACGGAAGTATCTGGTCCTGTTGGGATCCAAAGATTTGAGTTGGGAAAATTAAGGGGTTTTGTGCCTAGTGTGTAGGGTTTCGGAATATTTGGTTCGGCCAGGAATCAACAATTTTTCGCTGGAGTTTCTCATATGAGCTATAGTATAAACTCCTTTGAGGGGGTTACGTAGGGGATTATATAGGGACTACTATAAGGGATATTTAAGGGGATACTAGGAGTTTAGACCATAGCTCATATAAGGTTTCCTTGTATTTGGGACAATGTGGTCATGGAGGGTAGCAAGTGGAGCACTCGTTTCAAGATTGCGGGCCCAAAGCCTTACAAGCGCTGCTGTAAGGCGGATACCAAGAATGGTGCACGACCCTAAGTAATTTATACCGTCAGAATTATATGAATAATATACTATAAGCTATTATTATCTACTATAATATACTTTAATCCACTACTATAGTATATTAAGGCCATACAGGACTTTTAGTATCAGCAGTAGGACACTCTCCTCTTTGACCCAGGGATCGCCGCGCGCCCGCCTTCTCGCGGTGGTGAAGAAGATAGCCACCAGGTTTCCTCTGAGTATGCTAGGGTTTAGGGTGTAGGGGCTTAGGGGTTTAGGGTTCGGGGTTTAGGTTTTTGTTGATCCTTTTGACCTTTTTAAGTCATAGGGTAGTTTTAGACTTCAAGGAGGGCAATTACAATCAAACCCACATACGCTCTAAGCCCTAGACCGGCAACGGCAACCCTCAACCTTCGCTTACCACAGCCGAATGATTCACTGCCCAAAACCCGCCACACCAAACCCTCAGCCCGAATTCCTAAGCTCCGATCCCACAACGATATATGTATATATATATATATACATATGGATCTCTAATAGCTAAAAGAACCACACAAAGGGCCCAAAGGGATACATAGTGGTGTCCCAAAATAGGGGGACCCCACTATAGACCCAAAATACGATAGTCCTTATTATGGGCACCCCCAAAGGGGTACCCATAATTTTGAGAAACGACTATATAAACAATTCCAAACACTTAATCCCAAAATCCCAGGCCAATGCTCGCCAAAGGGTCACCTCTGTGCGCTGTGTTATGAGCATGTTGCTGCTTGCCAACCCAGTGGGTCTAGGGTTCAGGGTTTAAGGTTTAGGATTTAGGTTTTATTTAGGGTTTGGGTGAGCGTTAGTAAAGAAGGAACGAATGCAAAGGAGAAGGCCAGGGAAACTACCCTTTTACTGTGGATTACTTAAGGGCTAGTATCCGAATCCATTACTCGATCTAAGTCTGCAGAAAGGGGTTTCTGCCGAGATAGGCGGCCTAAATGAGCAACTACTCCAACAGACAACATACATTCCGAAAACACGGCAGGCATTGTAGGGGTAAGTCTCAGTTACCTCAAGGTTCAAAAGGAGCACACGGAAGGTTGATGGGGCGTCCTATTTGCTGCCCCTTTCGGGCTCTACGGCTCACAGCTTAGGGATGAGGATTCAGCCTCCAAGGGCTTTTGACAGGGAACCCGGATTATGATGGATGGACATGATGCTTTCTGGTTCAGAACTGTGAGTTTCCAAAAACATCTGTCAAACCCTAAACTGTAGTATCCGCAATCCACAAAAAGGACCTCATCTTCAGTTGCAGCTATCCGCCTTCCTATGCAAATCAGACAGATGACACACATCATCGCTGCCAAACTTAAAGCTAGGGCCAGGGTTTAGGGGTTCGTTGTAAAGGAATCATTCCTAAATAACTTCCATATAGCCCCATATGATCCCTATATACTCCATTATAGCCCCTATATAATCACTATATATCCCTTGTATAATCCTTGAATAGAGTTATAGTTTGTGAGGCGGCCGAAGAATCCCCATGACCGCGCGCAAATACGGACCTTAAATCCTACGCCCCAAAACTTGAACCCAAAGCCCCAACAACATGAAATCTCAACCCTAACTGCTGAACCTAAAGCTCTAAATCCCAAAGGCTTTACACCCCAAACCCTCAACCTTCGCAATAAGAATTACAGTGAACATTCAACTTCAGGAGTTTTATGTGGCCCAGGGAAGTTTGGTATTCCTAAGCCCTAGAGCCCTGAACCCTGAACCCCTGGACCCGTAAACCAGAAACCCTAAATCTCTAAATGCGTAAATCCCTGGACCCTTAAAACCCTTAAAACCTTAAACGCCGAAAACCATTAAAACTTCTCACCCCAAACCCCTAAACCCTAAATCCTTCAACCCCTAAACCCCTAAACCCTTCAACCCCTAAAGTCTAGACGATGAACCCTAAACCCTAAACCCCTAAACTCTAAACCCTAAACCCTTCAACCCCTAAATCCCAAAACCCTAAACCCCTACACCCTTCAACCCCTAAACTCTTATAACCCCCTAAATCCTTTTAACCCCCTAAACCCCAATACATACCCTATTATACTGTAGTAGTTTCCATTTTCTTTTCCATTATCCCTATATAACCCTTCAACTCTTAAACTCGAGACCTGAGGCTGGCCCCCAGAACTCGAGATATCGAGGCTGAGTTGGAGGCGATTGCGCAGAGCAAGAGCCTACCGAGCTGAAGTAGAAGATGCACCGTTGAGGGGTTTAGGGGTTTAGGGGTTTAGGGATTTCAGAGTTTAGCGTTTAGGGATTTAGGGTTTAGGGTTTAGGGGTTTAGGGTTTGAAGGGTTGAGAGATTTAGGGGATTTAAGGATTTCGGGTTTACAGTATTCTTCCTAAACCCACAACCTTAAGGTCAGTGTGTGGAAGGAATTATACCTACATATGAGCTATGGTCTAAACTCCTAGTATCCCCCCCCACAACCCCTGTAGTTCTCGCATATATAGTCCCCGTGCAAATGCCTGTAAGGAGTCTAGACCCTAAACCCTAAATGACCACCTTTAAGGTGTTTAGACCCTAAACTCTAAACCCTGTATAACCTCCTTTAAGGAGTTGAGACCATAGTTACATATCCCTGAATAAGCCTTGTAATAGTACCCTATAGAATTCCCTATATTTCCCGGTTTAAGGAGTTTAGATTATTGTTACATATCAAGATACAAAACACTCAGGCCAGCGCCGCGAGCAGGTAAAGCGCTTCTTCGAGAACTATCGGCCTCCACAGATTTCCAGGGAGGTGCCAGTGGGCCAGGCGCGGGTCTAGGATTCAGGGGTTAGGGTTTGGGGTCCAGGGATTAGGGTTTATTTAGGGTTCAGGGTTTAGGGTTCAGGGGTTAGGGTCTAGGGCTAGGCCCAAAGACATAGACGCCTGAACTCCAAACCGCAAGGCATGAGCCCGAACGCGTGTGTCCAGGGCTCAGGGCTGAAGGTTCAGAGTTTGAGGCTTGCGGCTTCAGAGGTCATGGCTGTCAGGTGACATATAGGGTTGCGTGATTCAGGTGTAGGGTTCAGGGTATTCAAAAAGGGTGTCTGATTGAGACTGCGGATATGCGGGAGTACAAACTGATTCCAGAGGTCCGTACTAAAGATTCCTCAGGGGAACCTTGAGAAAACTTCCAGTTGAAAGTATACAGCACAGCTTCTTCCTCGACTTCTGGAGAGCAGGAGTGCATTGCGGGGCAGAAAACGGTCTTGGTTCGGGCCCCATGCAGAAGAGGTCGGGGAGAGGGGACTGGGACTTGGCGACACTGCACCATGTATGCATATGTAGGCCTATGAGGAGTTCAAGGGAGGGTTTTCATTTTGAGAAACTTTTACGAGCCCCAAACCCTAAACCCTACCCTAACTCCTAAACCCCAAACGTCAAACCCCAAACCCCAAACCCTAAGCCCTAAACCCCAAACCCAGACACCCACTACCATATGGATCAGGTGACAGAAGACATCACTAAGAGCTCGGCTGCCCTGCTCGAGACACAGTGCGACCTTTCTGTAATGCTTGAAGTTTTAGGGTTTAAGGTTTAGGGTTTAGAATTTTCAGTCTAGGGTCTAGGTTTGGGGTCTAGGGTTTAGGGTCTAGGGTTTGGGGTTCAGGGTTCAGGGCATAGATTTGGATGAATGGCATGTTATTTGGGGATCCCTTAGTCCCGCAATATAGAGTAAGATTATATTCACCTTGTGGTTGCGGTATTTCGTAAGGAATAGTTTCTCATCTGTTTCAACCACCACAGACGCTGCTCAGATCTTTCATAAGTTATTGCTTTTGCCAGCAGCCAACATACCAGTCTGTAAGTATTGACGGTTGTCTGAAATTCTAGCTTGGTCATGACCATTTAGAAGCCAACAAGGAAGACACGCGCAGGGCTGTTTAGGAATCTAATTGGAGTTAGCATCATCTTGAAACAATATCCCTCACAATTTATCTATATAGTCCTAGTATATTGAAGTTCCATGGAATCTTTTGAACAGAAGCACAGACATTAGCGGTTGTAGAAATCTCGCGGCCGGCATCCAGGCAAGTTCCCTAAAGCCTCGAACCCTAAACCCCAAACCCTCAAACCTAAACTGTACACCCCAAAACCTTGAAACCTAAACCCTAAACCTTCATCGCGCGGCTCCAGGCAAATTCTGGCAGGTCGCTGACATTGCAGCGGGGAAATCCAAGTTGGAGCCGCTATCGCCACCAGAGCTTCCCAATAGCCAATCTCAGGCCGTGGAGGGGCTTAAGGTACAGGTACGGGTTTAGGGTTTACGGTTGAGGGTTTAGGGTTTAGGGTGAAGTCTGGAGGTTTAGGGGTCATCGAACTGTTCCTGTATATTATAGCGACCCATTGCTGATTCCACCTTATCCGAATATTCCTGCAGCCTGCACCCCGCAATCCACATGGCAAACGCTAAAACCATGAGCTTTAAGAGGCCTCAAATCCTTTACCCCAAGCCCCGAAACCCCAAACCAAAAGCCCTAGACCCCTACCGCAAGGCCAACAGCAAGCAATCCTCGACCCGAACAGTAATCCCTGAACTTTAAACACTCCCTATAAAACCTTTATAAAACGCACCCTAGGTTTAGGGTTTAGGGTTTAGTATGACAACCTTCCAGGCCAACAGCAAGCACTCCTGGATCGCACGTGGCGCACGAGAGCGTAAGCCGCAGCGCTGGAACCTGGCAGAGCGCTTTCGCCAGGAGGCCTTGTAGCTTAGGGTTTAGGGTTGAGTGGAGAGCCAAATGGAAACGAACATGGCAAATGGAATGGTATTTGGTGTTATATGGCCGGTATGTGGGGTTTGTGAGGATTCAGGTAGCTTTGAGGGATAGGGGATGGACTTAGTAAGTAGGTTAACATTGGTGAGAACTGGGTCCTAAAAATCGTTCCTAGGCGCTACAAGTTATAAGTCCACCTGTCCCTCCAAGTAAAGTCTTCCAAAAAGGGCTGTAAGTATCGCCTTGTTTCCCCAAACGTTGGTCTAGGAGGCGAGTTTTCTTGGGAATTTCTCCGGGCTTGGGGTCCAAAATTTGGGATTCAGGCAATATGGCCTCTTAGGACCAGGGGTTTGAGTATTTGGGGGTTGGAGACGTTAGCCTTCGAGAAATTCTTTGCTCCCCTCAGTCCTACAACCCAAACACAGTCCCCTCTATGGGATGTGGTGCGACTTGACGGCCCTGAAATGAGGGATGCTAACATCTGGCATATTTTGGGTCTAGGGCTCCATGATGCTCATAAACGAACATTCCTCTATAGTCCCCCTTAAGTAGATAGAATATGGCTTTGGGTATATTATAATAAGATCCCCATATATCCCATATTCTATCTACTTAAGGGGGACTACAGGATTCTATTCACTGTTAGGGCGCTGGGGTGTGTCTTTTCTTAGACTATTTTGAAAACAGCTTCAGGTGCGCGTTGAGAGCTCATGCAATGAGTGGGACGTCCGGCGCACAGGCGGGGTAATCCTGTAGGGGCCGAAATACTTGGAGCGTGGGTTAACACCCTAAACCTGGAACTCTAAATCCTAAACCCCAAACGAGTGTAGACTACTTGTGTTAAAAAACACTACACGCGAATGGTATTTGTAACTAATCAGGCTTCTACGAATACCTGTTGTGGGTGTTTCATCTTAGTAGGGACCCCACCTGGGCCCGTAGACCATTCATAAACCGCCCCCCTCTGGGAACCTGCCAAGTTCATGATACTCATGATATACGGGCGCCGCAAAGAAGGGCAGTTAGTTTTAAGAAGGTGGCATATTGAAGCCAACGTTGCCATCCGCGTTGAAGACTTCGAAGTCTGGAAAGACGATTCAAAAGCACGTGCAGCTAAGTGGGCTGGGTGAGAAGTCTGCATCTGCTCCGTCCCTGCATAGCAGATACGGGGGCTTTGGCAAAGAGCCTGGCAATCTAGCCAGCAGCAGCAGTGATGTTTTCTCCAGGAATCCAGTCATGGCCATGACCTTCAAGGACCAGACCCTCTTTGCTTAAGCGTGTTTTGTCTTTGTCAATCTCGTTTTGACACCGCATCTAAGAGAACAGAATTCTTAGGGTTTGTCGTCGGTGTAATGTCTCCCCAAAAGTTTCTAAGACTACAGAAATCGCAGGATTTCAAAGTGAACTTTCAACCCTAAGCCCTAAGACCCTACACCGTAACTCCTCAGCCCTGAACCCTAAAACCCCAGTTGAGAGGAGACTTGGAAGGCGGAGCCCAAGGCAAAGCAGAAAAAGGATGGCTCCATGACTCGGTACATGACAGCCTGCGAACGAGGAGGTACTTCGGGGTTTCTGAGTTCTGTTTTTTTTTTGTTTTTGGGTGGTTTCGGATTGAGGGGGTGATGGGGTCTAGGGGGTTCAGGGTTTAGGATTTAGGGGGTGATGGGGTCTAGGGGGTTTTGGGTTTAGGGGTTCAGGGTACCAAGAACATGGGATTTTGATTGGGCAGTGGCTTTCATCATTCTTCGAAGACTTATTGGTATAGTATATTATACCTTACTCTAGTATACTATGCCCTATTCTCGTGTCTTATAGTATGCCCTATGAGCAACAAGAAGTCAGGACGGGCCTGGGCGAAGTGCAGCCTGAACCAGGCACCCTAAGCCCTAGACCGAATAAAAGGATTTGGGTAACCCCAACCCCCAAAAGTAGGACCCTATAACCATCATATGACAGTCATAGGGTCCTACTTTGTGGGGGGTTGGGGGTACTAAAATCATCTAAATTCTATATATTAATACCCTAAACAGTATATTCTGAACATTGGGTACTGCCCCCACCCAGTAACAGTTTAGATTAGGGGTCCTATTAAGGGCTATATATAGCCCTATTATAGTAATTAACCAACTGTTGCGGATTGGGGGCAGTATCCAACCTAAACAGCATATTCTACGCCTTAAATTCCAAGCCATAAGCCTCAAACCTTAACTCCAAACCTTAAATAGTAGATTCCATTTTTCCATTATCCCTACAGAACCCCAAGATATTGCAGTAGCTTCCAGAAGAGGCATTCTGCCATCCCCGCTGGACTTCATCACGGGGCTCTCCCCCAGCTTGAATGCTGTGAACTGGGCCTTGGCAGACTGTGATCTGATCCCCGTGGCAGCCATGTTTCGCACAGTTCCCCAAGTCTTTGAGGTGGACTTATGTGGAAACCTTTATGAAACCCTATAAAACCCTTAAATAACCCCTATGAAACCCTATTAAACCCCTATATAACCCCTAAGAAGCCCCATGAGGTGGACTTAAGTGGAAACACGCTGCTGACAGACAAGTCTGTGGTCCCACTGCTGCAGAAGATGATGAAGAATCCGGCCTGCTCCACCCTTTCGTGCTTGCGCCTGCGGCAATGCATCCGACTGGGCCATCCTTCAGTGGAGTTGCTTGTGAGTCTTATTGCAAGTCCCCATGGACTGAGCTCACTGAAGGTCCTGGACATGAGTGGAATTTATTTGGCTGTGAAGTCTCAGTTGGAACTCTGCAAGGCTTTGGGCGAGCATGCGAACTTGGAGAATTTGATGCTGGCAGACACTGGACTCGGAAGCAATCCGGCCATCAAGAAATGCTTGGAGAATCTTTTTGGATGCAACACCCTTACTGCGCTGGACCTCAGCTGGAATAGCTTTGGAGACGAAGTTTTTGTGGCGCTGGGTACAAACGTGGCACATCCCCACGTTCAGCTGCGCTCTCTGTCGCTGTCGATGGACCCGTATGGAATCACATGTTTTTTATGCTTCGAAAGTCGCGTGAATTAGAAAATCCTGACCCCTTTTGTGTGGATGTTTGTCAAAGCACTGTCCAATGATGGCAAACCTAGAATGACACGGGCACCTTTTAGGCTTTCTGTTTAAACCCTCAACTTTAAAGATCACAGACCCTAAACGTTAAATGCTACACCAGTGGATTTGTACTCAAAAGCCTGTGCTTTGAATGATGTGGTTTCCATTTGCTTGTCCATTTCTATCCTCAAGCAATATGGGGCTTTCCAGAAAGTCAGGGTCCCTAGTGATTTGCACCAACAGGTTACAGTTCTTACTCACTAAATGGACCCCTAGACATTTACCCCCAGCTATTCGAAACTCCCGTGTAGTAGTAGAAGCCCTAGACCCTACGCAGCACCCCCGAAGATATAGAATTGTTTAGATCCTGGTCCCAGTCCCCAGCTAGGTCAAGCTGCTCATCGTCCAACGACGCAACGTCGGACCTGGCGCCCGCAAACATCATGCTGGAGTGCTGCATGGCTTGGGGTTTTGGGGTGCAGGGTTTCGGGTTTGGTGTCGAGGGTTCAGGGTTTTGCTGTTTAGGGTTCAGGGTTTAGTGTAGTGTCCGCTGCTCAGGTTTCGGGTTTGGGCCTTTTTAGATTTTACTAATCCTTTGACCCTACGCCCAAGACCACTAAGCAACAAACCCGCTTTTGGGCACAGATTTCTACCTACGCTTCCGTCTAGAGTTTGTGGGATTCAGAGTGAAGAGGGCTGATTTGGCGCTTTGGGTTCAGCGGTTGTTAGCCCCAAGCCCGAAACTCAACGCAAAGCTCTAAGTCCTGAAGCCATAGGGTTTCGGGCTTAGGGTTCGTTATCCAACATACAACCTGGGTTGCCATCATGCTGCAATTCTGCCGGGTGCGGACCATGAAGCCGTTCGGGGTTTTCTGGAGATTAATTCGGGGGGTCCCTGTGGAAAGGACAACGAATCTGGGCTTTATTAGGGAATTTAAGGGGTTGGTTTGGGGAAATACATCCTGATCCCGAAGCCCGAGACATTGTAGAAGGCCTTCAAAAGCTGCAGATTCATCATTAAACCCCGTATCTTACACCCCAAACTGGTTTAGGGTTTAGGGTTTAGGGCCTAAATCCTAAACTTGAATCCCGAAGCCCTAACCTCTAGACCCCAAACCCGCAAACCCTCTTCATGACTCAAGGCTTGGCCAAGGCGCGGTGCCTCACTTATCTGGACATCTCAATGAATCGCCTGGACCTAGGCGCAGCATTGATTCTGGGACTCTAGGATTTAGGCTTCTGTAGGGATATAGTGTTTTGGGGTAAACAGGGGTATATACATATATATATATATATCTGAGGTCTAGTTTGATCCTGGGACTCTATGATAAGTATTGTATTGGGCACCCAGCACAGAGTGTGTTATTCACATCTGTCCCTAAACCCGAATACCCCCATCCTTAAGCCTGGGCCATCACCCCTGAACCCCACATGCTGAACCCTCAAGCCCTCAACCCTCCTAAGCCCTAAACCTTAAACCCTAAATCGTGAACCCTAAACGTGGGCATTTTGTGTTACGGTCGACAAGGTGCGCAGCAAAAAATACGACTAAATCCTCCAATAGTAGTTTCCATTTTCTTTTCCATTACCCTTATATTCCCTATATGAAACCCCTATGTTATATAACCCTACTCCCTAAACCCTAAGCCCTAAACCCTAAACCCTAAAACCCCCTAAACCCTAAATCCCTCAACGGCCTAGGATTTTGGAGGATGCGCTCTCGGGGCATCCCTGCCTCCAAGAGCTGGACGTCTCGCGGAATCCGCGCCTGGGACTGTTAACCTCATTTTTCTAAATGTTTAGGGTTTAGGGTTTAGGGGTTAAGGGGTTTAGGGTTAAGAGTTAAGGGTTTAGGGTTTAGGGTTTTAGGGGGTTTAGGGGTTTAGGGTTTTAGGGGTTTAGGGTTTTAGGGGTTTTAGGGGTTTAGGGATTGGGGATATTATTAGGGTAGTCTCGGGGTCATAATGGGTTAATGGAAACGAAAACGAAACTGC